ATCTGGTAATATACAGTGTTAAAAGAACTGCACTTCTGCGTCTAAGCTACAAAATATTTATTTTCAGAATTGAAACGTCAGAAGGACACTTATCAAAGTTTTAGCATCCATATCAGTCTATGGCTTTTGTCAGGGAGAAATGGGATGGTTTTGGTATTAAGTTGGGATTCGGATCTATGGCGGAGGGACTAAATCACTACATGGAATTTGATGAAATTTTATCTGACAAGAATCTTGCTGATGGCCTCAAATTGCACTTGGGCATTTGTAGTTTTAAGGAGCTGTCTCTCCCTAGGTTGTTCCTTGTCCTTTTCTGTGCTTGATAATTTGGAATTGTTAGGTTTGTATATGCTGTCCCCTGCGTTTTACCTCCTTGCTGTGCTAGGGGAGTTTAAGGGACTTAGCTGAAACAAGAAGGGAATAACTACCTTCTCCTCCTCTGCAAACTGCTGCGTTTGTCAGAGGCAGCTTGAGGGCCCAGGTTGTCTTGCTGTTGTGGAAAAGCTGCAATTCCCTTCTGTCTGAACAATAAGCTTTGTATCTGTTTGTACACTAATGAACTACTTTTGTTTCCTTCAGAAACGTGCTCTGCTGTCTGGAGCGTTTCCATTTAGAGACAACCCTTGCCAAATTAATTTTATTTAATTATCTCCCAGGGCTAAGCTTGAATACGTTTTGTGTTAAATTCACCGTTTCTCCCTCTTCTGAACGAAATGGACTTAATATCCTTGTTAAAATCTGATTAAAACTAAAATTGAGTTTTTTGAAGTCTGATTATCCCATGAAATGGAATTTTTAAACCTAATTATGAATGGATTTGCATACATTTTTAGCACCATTGAAAAGAAAGTTGAAATAAATTTATTAATGAAATCCTCTTCTCCTGTCTCTTTGGGCCATGATGATTGCTGGAGAGTGAGGGAGGAGGAGGAAAGGCAAGAACAAAAACCCTCCCTCTTTTGAAATATACCCTCTCCCCTTTCAAATTAATTCCAGAGCTGTTTTGACCCCGTCTCATTTTTATTCCTCTCTGCCACACAGCCCAATTTAGGTAATTGATGGCTTTTCAGAGGGTAACTACACAGTTGAGCTGGTTTCATGTATTTAAAGCCTTTGTACTTCCTGAAGGGAGAGTGTGTGGGGGCTACATTTGTTTTAACTATTATGTTCTTCCCCTTCTTTTCTGAGGTAGCCCCGACACAAAATCAGTAGGCAACTCTCGTTTCTCCTTTCTGAGAAGCTGTATGTTTGAGCAGTTATTTTAAGCCTGATAAAAAATGGATAGTTTTACAGACCATGGTGAATGTGCACATGGGATTTGCGATTGTTTACGTACTTCCCTGGGTTTGAAGCAAAAAGTTTCCTTGCAGGATATATTTGAGTCTCTCACTACAGTAATCGTGCCCATTCCCTCGGGATTTTGGAAGTGGTGCTCTATGGAAAAAGGAATGCTAGTGGAGGATGTTTCTGCTTGTCTGACTCCAGCTTTTTGAAGCAGGTGCAGAGGGCAGCAAGATGCCTGTGCAGAGAGGTATTGGTTTCATGTGGAGGCTCGTATTGTTGAACCTTTCTGTATGTTTCTCCCACTGATTGAAAAGTTCATCGGATGTGGCTTTTTTTTTTTTTTTGGGTTGGTCATCCTCTTACTCAAGGTTACAAAAAGCTCTTGGTAACTAATGCTTATGCAGTGCAAAATTTTAAGCGTGTCTTCTCTCTGTCATATGCTGCATGCAGACTTTTTTTTTCTTGTTAAAAAATTATAGTAAATGTGGTAGAAAAAAGGTGTTTTGGCAATTTGGAAATCCTGGACTTGATACATGACTCGGCAAAGAGTCATGGCTCAGCATGTGGCCAAGTATTCTGTAAGCATTAGCAAAGTTACTTTGGAGTAGAGGGACTTGTTTTCCAGATGCCTTTGTGTTTTCATTTTACTCTTGTCTTTGCAAAGGTTAAGTTCAAAATGTAGTGGAAGTATCAAGTTCTACAAGAAATGTGTAATTCTGGCACTGTTTTC